TTGGTATTTTCAGTTGTGTCCGTTGGCTACAAACATCGTTTGTATTATTATTGATCTAATGAAACTGATGCATGATTGTTTTGGAGATGCATTCACACCTGCAGGTTATGGTCGTTTCATTAGATGAAGGATATTTGCATTGGCAAACTAAAGGCTTTGAAGAAGCATAAAGTGTAACCTGTGTGTTACAATAAGGTGGACCTGAGATGATATAAAGTAAGACATTTTGGTTAATTTAAAGTTTCATCTCTTGATCATAATTTGTGTTTCATGTAAATGTGGATCTTAGCATGAGTGATTATGAAGGTTCTGGGTTGTGTCAACCCTACAACCTTGTTAATTCCATGTTAAGAAATGCATTTGACAGAAGCTGCATTAAGGACGAGATGTAATCACTGTTACATGGCCACTAAAGTGACATTAGTCTCCAATCTCAAGTATAAACGTGAATATTACATTTTGTAGACCAAGTGGGAGAATGTTGGATTTATCCAATATAAATCAACCTTTAAGTGGTCTACTACATGTAATAGGAATGTAATATTGGAGAATAATGTTAATTGTGATTTGATCTCTTAAAGATATCAATTCTATATAAGGTGTCTTATATTGGAAATAGGATTGATGGAATCCTTAATAATATATGATTATGATATTTTACTTGAGAGCCAAGAAAGGAGAGTTTTAGCTTTCCCTTATGGATGGAATCTAAGACTTTTTGGCTAATATATAAACACCGGTCCCTGCTAACCCTAGACACGACAACTAAGGCTTCCCATAGAGCATTGTCATAAAGCTAGGAGTTTACAGAAGAGTTGGTGTTTCTGTTTGTCACGGCAAACATAAAGATTGGAGTTTTATCGATGACGTCTTGCTTGCATGGCTACTGCATCTTCGGTAACTACCATTGGAATCAGGTCAGTCACTCTTCGTTTGTGTTTTAATTGTATAACCTTATAAGGCTAACAAAACAGCCTTCCCGCGTGGATTAGCAATCAAAGCGGAAGCTGTGCGGTTCCAGGTGCTGTCGCTAGATTGAGATCTGTAGAGTGGTAGGGACTTCGACTGCCTTGCAATGATCCCTCAATTAAAAATTTATGGTCATTAGTCCCTTAACTCATCAAAATGTACAACTATGGTCATTTTCGTTAACTCCGTCAGAATTCCGTCAAAATGAGTTATACTGGAAGGACCATTACTACAATTGGGCTAAAGTTGAGGGATCATTTCTCTAGTTGAGTTAAAGTTGAGGGACAATTTCTCTAATTGGGTTAAAGTTGAGAGACCATTACTATAATATTTCTCATTTGGTTTTCTTTATTTGCCCCTCAATTCTGCCTCATATGTGTGGCACGTGACTCATTTGACGGAAGTTCTAACATAATTAAAAAAAATAACCATAGTTGCACGTTTTAAGGAGTTAAAGGACCAATGATCATGAATTTTTAGTTGAGGGATCATTAGTCTAATTGAGTTAAAGTTAAGAGACAATTATTACAATTTACTCATTATAAAATTTTGGTTAAGATAAGTTGAAGTCTAATAAGAATCCGGATCCTCTTTGTGAGGATCCCGGGAATCCGTGATATATTAGTTCATCATACATCATATGGTCAGAAATCATTTTAAATATTTTTATTTAAAATTAAATATAAACAGTACTGGATAAAAACTGATCACATGATGTACGATAAATGAACACAATTTACGATCCTCATGATCCTAACCAAAAATCCGGAGAGGATCCTGTTGGGTCTAATAAAATAGGAATTCTTTTTTATTCCGTTGTTTAACACCGAAAGATCCGGAGAGATCCTGTTGGGTCTAATAAAATAGGAATTCTTTTTTATTCCGTTGTTTAACACAGAAAGGTTTCTCTCTTTTGTGGCTACAATCGAAAGCGAGTGAAAGATACAAAAGGCGTTTTTCTCTCCCAACCTTTCATCGCCAGCAATTGCAGCCAGATCCAGGTATATCTCTCCTCTTGCCTTCTCTCTACCATTTTTCTGTCCCGATTTCTCTGAGAAAGTTAGGGTTTTGATTTGCATTCTTGGATTAGATTTTGTAGATATTCCAATGCATCTCTGTTTTCTCTGATTTAATAACAGAATCTGGCTCTTGGTATTCTAACTTTGCTTTATTTGCATCAAGATTTCATTTTTCTTGGTTTTCTATATAACCCATCTGCAAATGTTTTAGAAATTGGATGTATTTTGTGTATATGTACTTTTGGAATTCTTTGGTGTGGCTATTTTTGCGTGTGGTGTCAGAAGCTTAGGTTCCATCTGCTAGAAACTTGCATTACTGCATTACATTCGTAAAGGTTCTGATTAGGCCAGTCACCGTAGGTTACATTGTCCAATTCAAGCCTTTCTTTGACAATATTTTCGGGCTCTTTTTAAACGATGGCAATGTGAAACTGGGAAGCGCATTTTTGTTCACTTAGTTGTACGATATTTGAGAAGCCGAATATTATACTATTCGCCCAACCGAAGAGGTTGTGGAGGTTTTGATTTCTTGGAGAAAAACGAGGACTAAACTGGGAGGACACTTAACGGTCAGTAGGTATGCCTTCTGAAATTTATGCATGATAGTGGACTCTACATCAAAATGTAAAGGAAACTCGAATGTGTCCTGTTAATGGTTGTTTGACATTATGAGATTTTTGGGGTGGTCTTTGAAGAGTTGGTGCGATATGAGGTGACTCTTCGGTTGAAGTTTTCAGCATTAACTTTTTTTTTTTAGCATTTGGATTGGCTCTAGTATAAATCTTGCTATCATTCTGAATTTACATTTCTACAGGAACTAAGAAAGTATTAGTTATCCTTGAGTTGAGTGTGCTACGTTGGTAAGTATTAGCGTAATGAAAACTCATATATTGGCTGCGTTATTTATCTTAACGCGTTTAATGTTGAAGCTAGGCATCTACTTAGACAACTTTGCTTGTTTTGATTTAATATATTAGGAAGTGTGGAAGTTTACCATCTCGCTTCATGTGATGAGAAGATTGTGATTGATTAGCTCTAGTTGTTTTTAATTGCGAATAAAGTTTTAATTCTTGGATTCATAAGGGCATTATATTGATTTTTCATGTTGTAGCGTCAACAAATTCTTAATTGTTAACTGAATATTGCCTGCAGAAAAACGAGGATTACTCTTTATCATTTGATTGTATCTGATAATTCTCTTTATTTTCTAGACTATGCTTAAGGTCCCAGATCATCAAGTTGCTGGCCACCAAGCCGGTGGTGGAAAGCTTGGCCCTCTTGTAGATGATTCAGGCCACTTTTACAAGCCTCTTCAAAGTGACGAGCGTGGTTCCCAAGAGGTAGCATTCTATACAGCATTCTCTACTGACACTAGGATTCCAGACCACTTCCGCAAGTTCTTCCCTGTATTTCATGGCACTAAGCTTTTAGAGGCGTCTGATGGTTCTGGCCTGTATCCTCACCTGGCCTTGGAAGATATTGTCTCAGGCCGAACCCATCCTTGTATACTGGATGCTAAAATTGGTGCCAGAACATGGTACCCACAAGCTGCTGAAGATTATCTCCAAAAGTGTCTTAAGAAAGATAGAGAAACTGCGTGCCTGGATCTGGGGTTCAGGATATCTGGACTTCAAGTGTATGGAAACAAACTGACTGGACTTTGGAAGCCCGACAGGCACGTTATTCAGAGCGGTAGCGTTGACAATTCTAAGTTAGCTCTTAGGAAATTTGTATCTTCTAACCCATCTACCGATTCAGATATCAAACCAGATTGTTCTTTCACATCGACTGTCTATGGTGGTCCTGATGGGATATTGGCACAGCTGTTGGTACTGAAGTCATGGTTTGAGGAGCAAACGTTTTACCATTTCTATTCTTGTTCAGTTCTGATGGTTTATGACAAGGAATCGATACTGCAGGGGAAGAATCGAGGTGCTCAAATTAAACTCGTTGATTTTGCGCATGTCATTGACGGGAGAGGTGTAATCGACCATAATTTTTTGGGCGGGCTCTGCTCCTTGATAAAGATGATCACAGATATTGTCACCAGTCCTAGTACTTGAACCGACGCATGTTGACAACTCTGAAAAAAGGCGAGGAGAAATGAAGTACCCTGTGGGCAGCTTTCTTTCTTCCTTGGGGGATTTTGGATTTCCCTTTTTTTTTCTTTTTTTTTTTTAAACTGAAGTAATTGAAAATTGTTGATGATATTTATTGAATTTTTTTATTATGTAATCGTCTCCTTAACAGTAGTTTTACCAATATCCTAGGCAAAGATCCTTGATTTTTGAAAGCAGAATAATTCTCTGCTATATCCTCGGTTGTATACCGCCTTGTGTAATGTGGCCAGAAACAGATTCCCTCTGGGGTGTAATTAGGAGTATATCCCCTATTAGTATTTCTCTCATCACGTTTTACATTCCACGTAATGAGCAAGATACTGATAACGGATGTACAACTGGTTATAAGTTAGAGTCTGTTTTAGGAGAGTGGTGATGGTCTGCAATCAAAAGTACTGCAAGGATAGATTCTAACTTGTAATTGGGTGTATATCCTTATATTAGTAAATCTTCGTCGCATGACACACGCGGAATGTGTCCCACCCAATGAGTCTTTGGGCGGACATTCATGTGTTCCCAGCCTTCCGGACCGAAGAACTTCTCCAAATATTCACACACAAGTCATTCTACAAATCATTGTTGGGGTCCCATCAAATGGAAACAGGGCTGGTAATAATTGACAGCATAGCTTTCTTTTAATTTTTTTCAATGTCACTGTCTAAAGCGCCAGTGCATCCATTTTCCTTTCCTGTAATAGCAAGGAAGACCTGCAGATTCAGGAAACACATCAGACAAACATGGGATAATGTCTCAAATTTCTGTCTGAGCGGGGTCCATGGAATGTTCTCTGCCGACCTAGGAGCTAAAAAGCAAAATCTCCGACCACTCAGTGAAAGCCAAAATATAATTGTCCTTTAAGCAAAAGCACTTCTTACAACATAATCCATTTCAAATCCAGCAGTGAACTCCAAGCTTGCAAACATATTTTACTTCCATTTCTTGCAACCTCAACATTACTTATATAACTCACATGAAAATCAAACATAGATTACGGCGAAAACGGTACTCAAGATGAGTTCGTATTTTTCCTGCTGCATTATTTTTCTCTCTGTCGTCTGTTTCTGCACCAAAATCTGTTCTGCAGACTCAGATAACCTCCAGGACACTTGCCCTACGTCCCCGCCAGGAAAGCAAACCATCTTCATCAATGGCTTCCCATGCAAGAATCCAAACAGCATCGCTGCCCCCGACTTCAAAACCTCCAAGCTAACCGAACCTGGCAACACAGACAATTTCTTTGGCTCCTCAGTGACTCTAGTCACTGCTGCAGACTTTCCAGGCCTCAACACGCTTGGCCTCTCAATTGCGCGAACAGACTTGAGAATAGATGGCATGGTGAGCCTCCACTCCCACCCTCGGGCATCCGAACTGTTCTTTGTGAGCAAAGGAATTGTACTTGCTGGGTTTATTGACACCAAAAACCAGCCATTCCAACAGGTTCTTGCAGAAGGAGATGTGTTTGTTTTCCCAAAGGGTTTGCTTCATTTTTCTCTGAATTTTGGGTACGATTTCGCCACTGTTTTCTCAGTTTTCAACAGCCAGAATCCAGGGGTTGTGGAAATTTCTGGTGCCATATTTCAATCTGATCTGGATATGATTGACAGTATGACAAAGGGGTTTCTCACTCATCACATCGGAAATCTCACTCTTAACAAGCAGCAATTCAGAAAGTTAAATCCTATCATATGAAGATAAATGATTCTGAGTGCATGATCTAGTAGTTAAATACGTAGGAGTGTTTGAAGTGTGGCACTAGTCCCATGAGTTTGTGGTTTGAGATTAAGAGTGATCATATTAAAGCTATTTTGATTTATGGGGTGGGGTTCAGACTTGAATGTAAAGGGACGGACACACTGTTTTGACCAATAGTTCTAATTCATGTCTACAAAAGTGTTTATAAAGTAAGACTGCCCTTGCTATATATAATGTAAAGCTTTATAGCCTACTTTATGGCAGAATCTATTGCTTTTGTGTTTTATATCTTCCACATGCTGTTATAGTAGTGTAAGCCTGAGAAATGTTTTGTTGATTTGACGGTATTTTATGGTCTGCCGTCAAATTGTCAATCTAAAGCATTAACTTTTTCTCTTCTCGAAAACGAGGAGGTGGAAGTAAAGAAAATTAATAACGAGCAAACCATGACCCAAATTTTTTAATTTTATTAATAACGGAAACATGTATTAATGGAAGATCAGCGTTCCACCATATGTATCAAATATGGTCAAGGAATATATGGTGCTCTTTTTTGGTGGTCTTTTGAAACATTACGATAGCTCATGATCATCAAGTCTAGCGGTACACAATTTCATTGACTGACAGTTTATGAGCAATAAAGGAATAAAGAAGCACTTTGATAAATAGCACAAAGTGGAAAAGAGTTGCATCAACAAAACCAAAAGCCCCCAAGAAATCACAAACCCAATAATTATGACAGCAAATCATACCAAACAAGGGCAAGGACGAAACGAAAAGCTAGGAAGAAAAGATTTGACAGAATGGATCAAGCCGAAGATCAAACCCCGAAAACAACCAAAGAAAACCAAGCACTCAGACCTCATGAAACCCCAAACTATGAGACACAATAAACCGTAAAAATGAGACTGTTCGTGGCAGGAATTACCGTTGAGGATGTTTCCTAGCCAACGAGCACACAACTCCCCGAGAGGTCGGCGCAGGTTGATGCTTTCTGTCGGGCTTCTGCTTTACTGGCGGGCTTGTCGGGCAAAGCCTGTCGGGCAAGGCTTGTCGGGCAAGGCTGAAAGAGAAAGACAAAGTTAACTTTGAAAGGTGCCTTTGTGGGGCCTTAGGTGTAGGCTTTGAGGCTCACAATCAAGATTAACTTTTCAGTGCTCAGGCGTGCCACTGCCATCTTCAGCATGGTAGATGTAAAACGGATGTTGAGTTTTAATTATATATATACTCGAGAGACTATGTTAGTTATGACAGGTGCCTTTGTGGGGCTTTAGGTGTAGGCCTTGAGGCTTCCCGTTAATAACTAACTTAGTACTCGAATACATAAGGTTCATTTTCTTGGTTATATGAGTCTTATAACCATTATACTTCTGATTACCTGAGCCCGAAGAGCAGAATGAATCCAAATAGGTGCCTTTGTAGGGCATTCGATAAGCCTTGAGGCTTCCCATCAGAACTCCTTCTATACTCAACGTTCTAGCCCGAAGAACAAGATGAATCCAAATAGGTGCCTTTGTAGGGCCTTGAATAGGCCTTGAGGCTTCCCATCAGAATTCATTCCGTACTCGAACGTTCTATGGTAATCATAATATAATAGAAATAAAACTAAGTGACAGGTCGATTACTTGCGCCTCAAGTAACTTCGGACTTCTTGTTTATCAAAGCTTGTCGTGGATCGGTTAAGTCCACATAAGGTTCTTTTTTATGCCTTGAGGCCAAGGACTTTTGAGTGATCAGATCTTACATGCCCGAGGGCTTAGAACTTAGATCTGGCTTGAATTGTGAAGACATATTCAAATCGGATTCAAGCGCTCAGAGAGTCTTTTAATAGCCATATTACTAGAAATAACTTGGATACAACTTGTAGTATACAACATATTGCTAGGCTAATGAATGAAAAGACAAAAACAAAGAGGGTCAGGCAAGGTTTAACCTTGTTGGGCAAGGCTGATCGTCTTGCAACTTCCTATCTTTGTGGTTTATCAGGAGGTTTGAAAGCTTAGAAAAGGGGTTGGGAGATGAGTTTACAGAAAGAAATCGATACTACAGCAAGAGTTGAACAGGGTAGCAGAGCTATTACAAAGGGTTTATCCCGAAAGGGATGAAGGCTTGGGCTGACTACAGCTTCGTTTTGAAAGCAAATCTGGCTTTGAGCAGAGTTTGTGCTTGTATTTGTTGGTTTGTTTGAGTGTCCTTAACTCTGATTTCTCTTTCTTCTTTTATAGACACTTTGGCTTAGCCTCCTGTAGCAATAATCTTGCCCGAATACAGTTTAAAGGATAGTGACTCATCAACTATTTATTTGTACTGCCACTGTAAAGTACTTTTGGGCTGATTAGCTGGCTGGTCTATACCACTTGGCCTTTGGGTAGGTGAGCAAGTGGTGCAAATGATCTGTACCTAGTCGGGAAAGGCCTTTTCTGCCTTCTGGGCTTGGGCTGTGCTTCGGGTTTTTCTCCTCTTTTTGGGCCAACTCCCTTCTGAGCCCAAAGTTTAAGTTTTAACCCAAACAGTGCCTCATTCAATCAATATTCAGACTGGAATTCCAGGCGCCAATATTGATTAAATAGGTCTCTATTAATACCCACATCTTTCTTTCTCGGAAATTGCACACTTTTCAAAAGAAATCACCGCCTTTCTACGGTTATTCCCATCACTCCCGAATCTCCTGCATTTTTCTTTGGTAATCGAAAACTTCCTAACTCCCCAGTCGTTTTTCTTTTCTAAATCTTTTAAACTCTCCGCTTTTTTTTGCCCGACATCTTCTATCCTTGTCGTCTTCTTTGTCCAAACTTCATCAAATGGCTTCAGGATCCAGCCAAATCTAACTATCATATGAATTTGGTGAAGGCATTGCCACTTTGCGCCATTTACTCAACGACTTGCATCACCCTCGAGCAGGTTTACATTCTGAGCTTTTCTTTGAAGTACATGGGGTACAATCGTTGGGTCCCGCATGCATTTCTCGGGTCCTTGCAGTGTTAGAGGACAATATGCCCAAGGATAACTGGTTTTCCCCAAATCCCTTTTTGGCTAAGTCGGGCATTTCTTCATCCAAGTGGTCGTCATATCGCCGAGGCTTTCCATTGATGAATGATCTGGCTTGGGCTCAATGGATTGACGAACTAGAGCCAACTTTTAAGAAGAAATGGATGAATAATGGCATTTACGAGTTGATAATGCTCTAAAAAACCACCATTATTCCTAAGCCCGAACTGCTTGCTTCTTCTCTTATTTTCTGGAATTCGGGCACAAACACTTTTGACTTTCGCATGGGTCCCATGTCTCCGACTATTCTAGATATGGCTCAAGTCTTCGGGCTAAGGCCATCGGGCAGGATAATAGATGTTACTCAAGACTGGGCTCTCCCCTCAATTGTTGAAAGCTTAGGTTCATCCACATCCTTCCTCTCCCTGGAATATAACTCTGCAACCTTCAAGAGTTACGGGACCTCGTTCAAGGGATTCATCCCTTTTGTACAAGAAAATTTTGGAGCAGGTTCTTCCCGTGCTGATAGAGATCAAGAGCACATGTATTTCCTCATATACTGACTCAACAAACATGTCTTCCTCAATAAATCTAAAGGAGTGAAGGTTGAATGGATCCCCTTGGTGGAAGCTCTTCATAACTTCGATGATGTAGCAACAGGTTCATTCCTTCTTTCTCATCTTTACCATCTTCTTTTCAAAATGACTCAAGGCGAGCCATTTGAGACTAACCTGAATGGACCCATATGGATGATACAAATATGGCTCCAATGGTACTTTCCAAAGTTTCGGGCTGCCAACTTAGAGTTCCCAAAAGGTGTGGCCCCCGCCCGAATCCTAGCCGAAGCTGCTCCTACTGATCACTCCACCTTCGCCTGCTTTTATTTCTTCAAAGTTTGTAGGACTCGATCAGACCTGGAATGAGGTGCGTCAGTCTTGAGAAGATATCCTTGGTTCTCTGATCAGGCCTTTCAAGATGCTCCTGGGGAAGATGCCATCTCCTCTTGTAGGGAAAAATTTATTAGTTGCATTCAATCGAGAGACATGGCCTGGGGAGTTCGGGGCAATCGATATGATCGAGGGTTGGAGGTGTATCACCCTAACTTTTGCAGCAGACAATTAGGCTTTAGGCAAACCATCCCCATCCCATTTTTTGACTCTGTTCATTGTGGCACTTCCTTTCGTTTATCATCTCCCTCTGAGGCGACCTTTAGAGCTGCCCGACGCAGTCTTGAAGTCATGAGTCAGGCTGCCCGAAAGTCCATCATCCTCAATTTTGAATGTACTTCACTCTTCTCTTCTTGGTGGGAAGACAAATGGACCAAGAAATATAGAGAAGACTTGAGAGAGACTCATGATCGCCTTTTCAGTCAACTTTCTCTCAAATTATACCCCAGTTCGGGCAAACTTGAAAATTGGAAGAAGATGATTCAAGAGAAGAATCGGATTCTTCTGATAGGTATTTCTTCTTCTTATCTTGATTCTGTAACCCTTATCTTGAAGCCTTTTAACTTTTTCCTTAGTTAACCCTGCAGCCCAAGTGGATGTTGAATTGGTACCTACTGAGTCCGAGGATGACTCAGCTGATGCAGCAGTTCTTCATGGAGCTGCAGCGGAGGCTGAAAGGCGAGAAGCTAGAGAAGGTGGGGATGTTTCAGAAGATTCAGGAGCTGAAAAAGAAGCTCCTGAAGCCACCATCCAAGTGCTAAGAGAAGGAAAGCCGTTGTGATTGAGAACTCAGATTCTGATCCTGCATCCCCACCCAAGACTAAACGACGAATTCCTACTCCGACTAGAAAGAGTAAGAGAACTAGAACCGTCCAAACTCTCAAGTCTTCAGACCCACCTGCTCCAATTTCTGAGGCGGGCAGAAAGAAGCAAAAATCTTCAAGTGAGTTGTGTTCTTTTCTGTCAGATTGCCACCTTTCTTCTTTATCTAATTACCTATGTTTTTTCTTGAACACATGACCTCAAGCATCAAAGAAACCAACCATCGCTTCCAAGGATGAACCATTAGGAGCTGAAATGTATAAAAAGGTTGAAGAATTGCGAAATATCACCCTTAAAGAACTTGAGGTATAGTCTACTTTTATATCTGCATAGTCTTTCCTTTTTTTCACAAAACCCTGAGCATGATTACTTGAGTCAGGCTGCAAGAAAGGAAAAGCTTCATCTGCCCGAGGGCTCTTCACCACTTGCTCGAGAAACAAACCTCTCTCCCCCCCCGGGTTAATCATTCGGAGGTACACTCCCTTTCTTCTTGAACCTTAGGTAACTTTTATAATTTATGGGGCTAATGCCTG